TTGACCTTTTTAACAAAAGGGGGTGCTTTCTTCCCCCCTTTGTGGGGAGGGGGGGTTTTCCCCCCCCCACAACATGTTTTTTTGGCCCCCCATTCCAGCGGGGGGGGTTATTCCCCATTTGGGAGGGGGGGGGGGGGGGGGGTGTACTCATAGTCGTGCATGCCGTAGTCGTTTGACCATTGACCTCGCATCCCTACAAAGCCGGGACGGAGCACGCCGGGTTCTCACCGGACCAGGCTCTCACATCACCAAGCGCGAAGCGCCGTGAGGTATTTGGCGAGTCGCATGAAGGGTGAGCTGCCATCCTGCTAAGGGTGTTCGGCATCTTGTGCTTACTTCCTTGCGTACGGATGACAGCTACGTATGACTTAATTTATTTTCTGGTGCTTTCACTTCCAGAGACAGTTGTAAGCACTGTGTAACTGCCTCGAGGAAGCTTGACCATTTTAACACAACGTGGTGCGATCATCCCCCGTTGCGCGGAGTGAGGTTTCTCCACCCCGTACAACATGATCTACTCGACCACCATTATGGTTACCGCCAAAAAAAAAACCGAGGTAAAAAAAAAAACGGTAACCTGGTTGCCGAGTTCACGAAGTGAATTGGCTTGTTTTACAACGTCGTTGCCAAGCGACGAAAACCCCATCCCGATGGCAAACACCGAGTGGGGGGCTTGTTTTACAACGTCGTTGCCAAGCGACGAAAACCCAAACCCCGATGGCAAACACCGGGGGGGGGGGGGGGGGGGAAGAAAGTGTGCATGGGCGGGCTATACCACAAAACAGCAGGGAGAAGGGGGGGGCATCCAGCACAACCGGCAACATTCAATCTCTGTTAGACCACAACATGGAGGGGACGGAAGATACCGGGAGGGTTACAAAAAAATGAAAATGATAAAAATGTAATTGCGGGGAAACCGAACAAAGCTTTCATCATCAGGGTATGGCAATGGATAGAGCGACCTTAGGGTCATGCTGTGGGGAAAACACTCCCACCAAAAGGTCGACAACGTTTCGCTCAGTCTCATTCTCTCCCTCGACGCTGTGCCTATCATGATAGAGAATGCTGACACCATCCCATCCCATCCCATCCCATCCCACAGGCCGACGACGACGGCAGGCACCAAGAATAAGAACAAAACTACTGTAGACACACCGACCATCACCAACACCGCCAACAACCCTCACAACAACAACAGCAGCAGCAGCAGCAGCAGCAGCAGCAGCAGCAGCAGCAGCAGCAGCAGCAGCAGCAGCAACAACAACAGACAATAGCAACCCACCGGCGTGGCACTCTGGGGGGCTTCGTAGCTGGCGTCGTCCGCCTCGAAACCCAGAAACCCGTCCACCTGGAAGATGGCATCAGTGTTGTCCTGACAAAACAACGCCATCAGCCCCGACACCGACACACGGAGGACGAACGAATGAGCCGACACAGAGGGAGGGGAAAAGGACTACATACCACGATTCCATGGCTTATCACAGGTGTAGGAGCGTTGCGCGGGGTGCGGTATTTTTTTCCAAGGGTCGGTTGCAAGGCCAACGCCAGTTATGTAGGCGAAACTATTCACTCGTAATCGGTAAGCTGTACTGGTACACCGTTTTTCTCACAAAAGCAGTACCAGTATAGTAGTTGCGCCCATCTTCTACAGAAGATGCAAATTCATGGTATCGCAAAGCCACAGCGGCGAAAGAAAGAAAAAAAAAATCAGTTTCGATACGTCAAGTGGGGAGAGCGGCCGTGGGGGGGGTCGGTGCTGCTGTAACCACCACACCCGCAGGGTGCTTTCTTTCTCGGGGATACTGTAGCTCGGGACAAGGACAAGGTGTGTGATGTTGAGAGGAACAAAACCGCTGCCTTTCAGACGGAGACGGGCAGGCAACAATAAAACTACCGTGTGCATCCACTGCTGTTGTATCCTGAGTCTTACGGGCATGGTACTTTATTTCTCTACAGCAGTAGACCTATTCTGTGGCCTGTCTCATTTTACGGAGAAACAAAATTCGAACACAAGTCACTTATTTTTTCATTTCTCCCGTGTTGTTGGGGAAGTAGTTCGGAACATCATCAAGCTGGGGCTCGAGTGCACAGAACACGTATGCATAATTCTACACATACTGTACGCCAGGTGTTGTGGATCGTCGGCAATACTGTATGGCGGCACCAAGTACTGCGGTATTATCACAACAAACGGGGGGAGACATCGATAGAAAAAAACAAGGCATCCTCGCCAAGACGGTCATGCGCACAACAAGGGCATTCGGTTTGAAGTGGGCAAGGGAGCGACGAAAGCTTCGGCGGGGAGTTTTTCGTACAGGGAGTATGCATAAAGCCAAAGCATACCACCCGTTCGACCGTTCGAGATACAACCACAGCAGTACAGGTACAATAGTCGAAGGGGATGGGTTGAGGTCTTCACAGCAGTGAACGGGGGAAATATAGGCTTTGTTTCTTCAACCGCAAACCGGCGGGGCAAAATGTATGCATACGTGTCAGTCGGCGGCGCGGTCGATGGCCGACGGACCGACCCAATCCAACCCAACCTTGCTCGCTTAACGCCGACCCCAAACCAACTTGCTCAACCCTAACCAAACCCAACCATCTTGCCAGACCAACAGATATGTGAACGGAGGTCGTCCAGGGCTCTCTCTCCATGCAGCAACTATTATGCCGACCGCCCACAGTCTACATTTACATACATCCTTTTGCCAAAGACAGTCATGCTCCCCCCCGTAGTTGTGGTACTTGAGAACACCATCAAGCTGGGGCTCGACTGCGCAGAACACATGAGACTACTACATACCCGGTGTACGTGGTTTGTCGAAGATTATTGGTTGTGCATGCTGTATATCCATCGTTCATGCCATACAATACCTGGTTACGCTCGAAGAAGAAACCAGGCCCTTGCAAGCGGACCCTGGCTCCCTGTCGGACCTCGAACCTTACGCCCTTGGTGCGCAAGGCGGCGGTCGTGGCCACGATTATCACCTCCTCGCGACCCTCAGCCACCTCGATCGTCTGTTGTTGGCAGCAACCATCATGGGTCGTGTTTACACTCTTGCAAGCCTCGTAAATGAGCTCTGACTGAAGCTGAATTGTGGCAAGAGAGCCAGCTGCTGTGCGCAAAGAATATGACTCTTATTGTAAGAGTCATATTCTTTGGCTGTGCGTGCTGTGCCGACCTGAGCCCCCGTGGATCAACTATGACGCCTCTTCCGGGGTACTACAGTACACCAATTCCCATCTGCGGCACCACGCAATACCGTTGGTATCCACAGCCAAGCTGCAGCAGTCCAATCCGTCCACATGGGCACACAGCTACAACTACAGCAACACTCAATGCGTCACGCAAGGCGAGGGCGCGCAACGAGCGGAGAACATAACGTGAAATAGTAATATTTCCTGGTTGCTTCATTGTGGGGCGCCTGAGTACACTACAAATACTGCATGTAGTTTGCCACGCCTGCCTGTGATGAGCTTTTTTTGGATGCGCACGTTGCAACCCATGGTCTCTACCGCTATAGCTGCTTGTAGTCGGCAGGCTAGACTACTACTGCTGTACATGTAGGCTACAGCAGAAGTAGTCTTTCGTTCTTGTAGTCGGAGTGTTGCCGGTGGTGTCAACAACAACATTGAAGAGAAGGAATGGGTAAAAATTCGAAATCCGACCCGAACATACTGTACACAACAAGGAACGAATGCAAAAAACAACAACGGACATACGAACTACAATCCCTTGTTAGACTGCTGTCGTGTGGCCGGATTCAATCAAGCCCTGTTTTCCGTGGCGTGGCAGCGCCAGATGAAACATTGCATACGCCTCAAAAATGTCGGGCTGCACACAAGACCCACGACACTACTGCTGTAGACTACATGCTGCCTACATACTTGCAGTTGCGCTGAATTGAATGTGTTGACACCTCGGGAGTGCGGGAAACGGAGAGTGTGTGGCAATCGATCCACTTTCTTCCTTCTACCATCGTGTTGGAAACTCAGCATTCACAGTGGATCCTGCCCTTATCTGCATCGCACCGCGGGCGGCTGGCTTTGATCCTGTCAAAGATCACCCAGCCGATCAATCTAGACTAGACTATGCATACGAACGGTGGATATGATGAGCCGATTCGGCAGGCAGCAGATAGAGGCCGACGCCCCCCCCCCCCAGACACCTCACTCAACCAACGGCAAGGGAAGGAACGAAGAAGCACAGAGGTGAGAGAGAGGAGAAGCACGCGCACACACAATCTTGGGGAAAGATTCGGAGAAGAACACGTTTCATCACACTACTGCTGCTGTTGCTGCGACTCTCACACACCTTGGTCATGTCGCAGAGAACATCTCCCACATTGCGGACGTAGCCATGCACGGGCGTCCTGTCATTCACAAGATCCGAACAGCCATGGATGTAGGTGACACCATCGTCCGGCGCGTGCTCCCGGGCGGGGGTGTCAGCGACGGCCGAGGCGGTAAGGAGCACCGTCATCATTAGGACTACCACGGCCAGGCGCAGAAGGTGGTTCTTCGCCAGCGTGACGAAGAGGCCGGACGAGCGGCGGCGGCAGCGTGGCTGAGAGGTCGTCATGAAAACAGCGGCCATCATGATGCGGTGTGTCGATATCCTTGTTGCTTCTATCTATCTTCTTGCTTCCTTCCCGTGCGGAGAGCGAGAGAGAGAGAGAGAGAGAGAGAGAGAGAGAGAGAGAGAGAGAGAGAGAGAGAGAGAGAGAGAGAGAGAGAGAGAGAGAGAGAGAGAGAGAGGCGATAAAAGAGTGAGCGTGTGTGCAGGGGTGGAGCAAAAGCATCGGAGGAACAGGCAACGAGCAGGTGGATCGTGGAATCAATTTCATTCTTTGCATAAAATAATTTGGTCCCTGAGCAAATTCGCGGTGGTTCCCACACAACAATTACCGTCCGGTGTCTGTCGTGCGCGCCTCCGAAAATAAAGCAGGGGTTAGAGAAAGACAGACGTAACGAAAGGACGAAAGGGCGCTTGCTAGAAGAACACTTCGCCCGATGCCCCTGCCGTGCCGGTCATGTGTGTGTTGATTCATCCACAATTAATGAACCATGCGTGTGTATGTAGCGCCCGATGCCCCTTCCGTGCCGGTCATGTGTGTGTTGATTCATCCACAATTAATGAACCATGCGTGTGTATGTAGTGCACGTTGTACTGTATGTAGGTGAAAACGAGATCTACCCGCCGTACCAGTACTTGTTTTACCAGGCAGCAAATAGTTAATCCATATCATACCGTATGAACGAAGTTATCGTTGAACTGGGAGCAGTACTCCTTTCGCACTCCATTCGCACGTACGTGTGCTCTGACGTTCTGGCATGTCTCTCCAACAAAACTGTGGTATCTTCGAAGCAGCCAACGCGGACGGACGCATTCGGTGGCTCTCAGCTCACCCGTTAAAAAATCATCTCGGCGGGTAATCTTTTTTTCTGCGCTTACGCTTGCAGTCATGTCTGGTGGACCAACTCTCTTTTTGGCTGATGATGATGTTTTCTCGGCTTGCCGTGTTCTATTTAGCTACTTGTCCAACCAAGATTTAATTTTTTTTTTTTCGAATATCAACGAGCTTCCTCCGCTAGCCGTTCGTTGTAACATATGTGCCGCGTGATCGTGCGATACGAATCGCTGAGCGAAGGCTCCTTTGTCTCTGTTTGAAGCTTGAAGGCGATTTCTCATGTCCTGAAGTATTTCGAATAGGCCCTTATATTGAGTGGGAAAGCAGGAGCTTGTTCCCTGTTTTGCCCCACTGATTGCTTGGATAAGGAGCGAGGGTCGCACAAACCAACCGATTGGTTCCGTGTGAGATTGACAACGAAAAGAGGGTGTGCATTTCGGGGATGAAACGAAGGCTTCCCCCCTCTATCTGCCACATCAAATGACGCACAGAACGACAACCGTATTTTGTTGGAGGGCTGTCTCTTCCTGCTTGTATTTCGAGTCCCACCCATTTCCTATTTAATCTTCACTGATTGCAACAAGAGATTCACTGAACCCCCGTTCAATCTTGATTCCCGTTGTTTTTTACCTCTCGTTGTTGTTGCCGATCCCCTCCCCCCCAAACAGCTATCACTATCATCCCGTCTCCTACCATCTCCATGCATCCACCAGGCGGTCCGCGCTAGGTTTCCAAAGAACACCCACTAAATAACTCGTGGTGCTGTGGCTGTAGGTCGATCTACGGCCTTTCTGCAGGGGAATAAAGAAAACAGCTCTGCCGGTAGGAGCCCAAGCGCGGCGCGGAGTAACCTCGGCATTATGACGTTCTACGTAGAGACCAAACCGCAAAGTCTTGCTGTGTTTTCGTCGTACGAATAAAAAGCAAGCCTCACAGCTCTGTTGTGTACTTGCGGTTTTTACCGTCGAAGACGTGAGTGACCGGAGGCTCTCGGCCAAATCATTCTCACACCGCCGCATCTCAAATACAGAACCATCACCGATTGTAGTTGTTCTCCATAAATTTACAATAATCGTCCTAGGTTGGCGAGCCATTTACTCGCTAGACGACGAATGAATGAAAATGAATCGAAAACTCAACATTGGACAGGTACGACCTCGAAACACACTGCTGCTATAGATGTCATCAACAGCAGCAGCGTGCGAACCAGCCCCGCTGTTGCTCATTGTTTATGCACGAATCCGCGAAAATCTCTTCTCAATAGCTACAGAACCTCCAGAGGCCGCAGTCAGCGTTGAAGGCTACGAAGCGTGTTCACGCTTTCCGGACAACCAATCGCCAAAAACCAACCATGCTATATGTCGGCTCAATCAACTAGCTTAAACAAAACCAAACGGCTGCTGCTTCCCTTGAATTGCGCACGCAATGAACAGGTCAAGTCCACCTCCTACTGTAGACGTCCAGAACATCCAGGACGAATATTGACACTGATACACGCTATTTATTGTCACAAAACAACAAAAATGGTTTGGGTCGACACGCAGTCGTTGTGTGTGTCTTTTTTCTTCTTTAGTTTCAACAAAACCGCTTATATTCAGAATCTCCGCACTCAACAAGGGGAAAGACACGGGTGTCGAGGGTTAACACAGGAGCAATGGACGGCAACAAAGAAAGACACGACAAACAAAGTCTCGACAAAAAGTCGTGATAAACGAAATCATCAATCAAGTACAGCTTCGCCCCTGCACAAGAGAGCAAAACATTCAGTGCCTAGCGATTTGGCCAGACGTAAACCGGAAACCCGGCGCTCATCAGAGCCGGACGACTTGATTTCCATCTGTTTCATGCGATTTCACCGGCCTCGTGCGGGGCGACCGGCCTCATAAATGCATCCCAAACAGGCACCACGACTACTACACAGCCAAAGCAAGGTACAACAGGGCAGGAAACAAAAGAGGGGGGGCAAGTCAAGGAACAAATATAAAACGTACGATCCATACAATACCCGACAAGACCAGCCGAACCACCGCAAAACTACCAAGCAGGACAACAAGTCAATAAGGCGCCGCCGTGCCCCCGAGAGAAAGAAAAACAACGTGCTTAACGTCCTCCCTGTTGCAAGTGATCAACCAAGCGCAGGCCGTTACCCTCAGCTACCGATGTTCGCGCTGCTGGAGACCTCTTTACCTCAGAGCCACCATACCAGCAACACCTTGTTTTTCTTAGAACACCCGAGATACCGCACGCAGATAGTCCAGTTTGGGAGTCCCTGTCCTCGCTGCTGCTTTCAAGAAAAACAAACACGTACCTACTGCTGATTTACAGAAACCGCAGCACATCTAAAGGTCTATCTACTACCATGCTGCTTTCATATCCTAAAGCACTCTGTGTCACTCTTTTATCTCACAAGTTATTTTTGGTACAATCATCATTGCATGCAGTATTTTTCTCGCACCTTCTCTACCCGTTCAAGGGACGGTTCTTCTCACGTCGGTGGGCAAAACCTGAACCCAACTGCCCTGTAATACAACACACGCGAACCAGCCATGTACATGCAGGCGATCTGCGCCACACAGAGGCCCTTGATGCCAAGCTGGCAATGGCGGAAAATCACGAGAGAAACCGTTGCTGTTGCCGTTGCCAAATGTCCCTCAATAGTACTCAACCGGGCGATCCCACGACATTCCCGGCCTCCTGCAAGCGATGGCTCCTCTGCACAAAAGCATCTCTCTTTTCTCTCTGAACGACATACAAACGAAAGAAGCCTCTGGCAAATCATAAATCAAATTCCTGGAGATCCCCATACAACGGGTAAACACTCCCCCATCTGTCCAGGACGATTCCCTCTTTTCACACAAGCGCAGCTCGTATCGCGCCTCTTCAGCAGTCAGCACACAAGCAAGCGAGCGAGCGCGCGGTGCTCACACCTCACCACGGCCAGTCTATCTATCTTCTTGGCCGTTCGTTCCGCGAAGCCACCGCCCGAAGCACCCACGGCAAACAAAAGCAGCACACACGCTTCTTCGTAGGGGACGGGCCCTGTTGTGTCAAGTCGTATTCTTTCGACCATCCAGCTCGCACCCCTTGCAAGACAGCAGCACCATCCGTATCTCCTCCCACCCCTTTCTTGAGGAGCACCATCCGCAGCTCCTCCTGCAGCGGAGCAGGGGCGGTGGGGATACCTCGCTCTCTCGTCAAGCACTACGGCGGCTACAACAGTATTTCCTGTGTATCGTCCGCACGTCCACCGAGCGGAGCTAGACGGAAAGATGACGCTTGCTTTTCCCGCAGTCACGCGGCGGTCGAACCGCCACCGCCCTTTCCGCCCCCGCTCCCCGTGGGGCTGCTGTGGCCGTGGCCCGGGTTGGCGCTGCTGCTGCTCCCCGTGCTGCCGCTGCGGCTCATGGATCCCGGCTTGGGTACGAAGTGCGGGAACGACGGTCGCAAGTGGTGTATCGTCTGGACCCACGGGTGCTGCAGGGCCTGGGCGGCGGTTAGCCTGTCCGTCCGTGCGCCGCCGGTCGACGAGTACGGAAGATGTGGAATGAATGGATGTAAAATAACCGGGCGAGGCGTGTGTGTGGGGGGGCGTGTGATGGGGGGGGGGGTGCAACAGATGAGCATCAAGAGGGCGGGCCCGGTTTCCAGAAGAATCTAATCCCGACGAGGCACTCCTAGCAGCACAGGGGAATGGAAAGAATATCCCAAAAGATATGGTCGAGGGCAGTGAAATTGGCCGATGGCAGCCGATGTATATGTGCTTTATGAATAGGCAGGTTGGGGCAGGTCAAAGCAGAGGCTGAAAATCGGATCAACAGCCGTGCGTGCACTGGCTTCGGTAGACGGGCCCATCATGCAAACGGTGGAATCGCGCGGGCAGGCTGTGGAAATCATTTGATGGTGCGCTAAGGCTGGTAAGGTGATTCGAGTAGGGCAAGCAACAAAAGAAAAAGAGTGTTCTTTTGCGTCGTATGCCGCTGCTTGTCAGGAACCACTACACGAGAAAACGGTGAGACAGCACACAGCAAGCACGCGCCTATTGCTAGACACCGATTCTCTCCTAGTTGCCCGCCATTGGGATGACGGGCAATATTCCTTGAAGCATGGGACTGCTGCAAGGAATCAGTGTACTTGTGAGAATCGAGCATGCACCGCTGTTTGTCTCGTTGTACCCAACCAACATAGGCAGTGGAATTCATCCTCTGGGTGTGTCCCTGCAATAGATAAAACATTTCTCAAATTGGGTTCTGGTCGAGAACAAACGAACCAATGAGGTGCACCGTATGACACGACGACACGGTATGCTAGCCTGCCACATATATTCGATGAACACCTGCCCAAGACAATATCTAAATCCGGAATGGAGGGCGGTGAAACTGCAACGTGGGAACAAGAACGTAAAAATATAACACTACAGCCGTGTGATTGTGATTCGTGCTTGCTAACATGCACGCACCTTTGTGATGGCTCCTTCTCCAAGAGACCTTCGATGAGGCTTTTCACTCCCACATTCACGTCCGCCCTGTCCAATCACATCATCGTCATCATTTATTCATTCGGAGCAGGGAGAGAACGGCACCTCTTGTCAGAACAGGCGGGACTGCAGGGACTTCCCAACAAGGCGGTTCACAAGGAGGTAAGTGAGTGATGACCCAGATTCCAGGGAGTTCGATTCCGGTCCTTGGTGAATACATAGGGGAAAGAGTGGTCCCGATGTAGGCCAGAACAATGTTTCATGCCAACCACCACCACCACCACCAACAACAACGGATAGATTTCAGGGCCAAGTAATGGAACAACGGGGCTTCTTGGCATCATTCTGGTATCGCCGGAAGTTCAGGCCAACATGCTTCGTCGTAAGACGCACAGGAATGAATTCTTGTCGCGTGGAGTGCAAAAACCGAACAAAGGCACGAGCGTTTTGCATGGAAGAGAATGGTTCATTTGCTTCCCCTTTTTGTGGCTCGAATTGCATGATGAACGCATGGGGTTTAAGCTGTTCACGGGGCTCTCTCGCCAAGCATACGCCGCCGGGTATCGAGTCGCAGTCGAAGTGGCTCCAGAAAACGACGCATCAATAACCCAACAGGCTAGCCGCACAGAAATGCATTCCTCAGAGCAGCACACACAGTATTGCCAAAAATGAACAAGCACCTCTCCTTCAAAAACGCGCCAGAAACAGGCATGGATATTTGAAAACGACCCCCCGGACATGTTGTCGTCTTTCATATACCGGTCTCTTCCTTACGAAAGGCCTGGATGCTTAAAACAGGTTTCATGACATGGTGGGTGCGTTGCGTTCTTGCTCAAGCAAGTTTCATGACGCCATGCACAGCTCGTCGTCTCTTCCTTCGCCAATATATATATATATTTTAATGCCGCCAAGGGGCCTCTCACTACGCGGCTTGAGCGGAATGGATGCGTAGACATTTTTCGTGACGTTGCGGGTACGTTGATTTCACTCTTGAGCAGGTACGGGGCCCCTCACCACACGGCGCAAGAGGCACGAACAACTTGAAGGAGTTTCATGACGGTGTGAGTACATACGTTGTCGTCTTTCCTACGCCACGCGTCTTTCTTATGCAGGAAAGGGGCCTCTCACCACAAGGCTTAAACGAGGCATGGATACATAAAAACAAGTGTCATGACACTGCGCTTAAACGAGGTATGGAAACAAAAAAACAGGTGTCATGACACGGCGGGTACGTCGCAAGTGTCCAGCAGATACGGGGCCCCTTACCAGACAGCCGCGGGGAAGGAGACGGGCTTGGTGACGCACTTCCTCGCCGGAATGAAGGGGAGTCTTCCCGATATCATCTGGTACAGCATCACCCCGACGCTCCTGCAGTCGAAAAAAGAGAAGAGAAGAGAGGGGCACGCCAGAGAAACACTGGGAATCGAGAAGACGCTGTGCGTGTCTTTCTTGGTGGCATCGACCGCGCTAATCAGCTGACCAATGAAAAAATGTCAGCAGTGTGTGTGTGAGGGACAGAGAGAGGGAGAGAGAAGAGAGAGAAAGAGACAAGAGATACATTGGTGGCTTGCCAAACGATCTACTCTGCGGCCGCTTCGACACCAGCGGCACCCTCCCACCTCGTCATCCCCCCCACCATCACAACCTCCCTTCTCATATACCATCTATCGCGTAGAGCTACCACAACCGTCGTGACAAGGCTGCCTTCAGACCGGCCGCGAAAAATCCGCACGGCACAACAACAAATTTCACACCCTGTACAACTACTTTAGTTGGTATTAGTTGTTTGCTAGATAACTACTCTTCCGGGAGCGTGCGCACCTAGTTGCCCGCAGACAACTGCTGGTTCAGATTTGTGCGCACCTAGTTGCCTACAGACAACTACTCTTCCAGCATCGTGCGCACCTAGTTGCCTGCAGACAACTGCTGGTTCAGATTTTTGCGCACCTAGTTGCCTGCGGACAACTACTCTTCCAGAATCGTGCGCACCTGGTTGCCTGTATACAACTACTCTTCCAGGAGCGTGCGCAACTAGGTGTTTACCATCAACTAGCCGGTAGTTGTCTGGCAAACAACTAACGTAGTTGTTAGTTAAAGTTGTACAGGGAATGAAATTGTTACAGAGAGAGTGAAATTGTTCAATTTCACTCCCTTTCGGACCTCCCTCCCAACACGCTCAAAGCAGATTCGTGCTTCGTCGTCTTCTTCCTCCTGCTGCCACTCACCACAAGTCGGCAGGTTTCCCGAAAGGCTGCTGGCTCATGATCTCCGGGGCGATGTAACCCCCAGTACCGAACAGCCCTGACCATGGGATCTTGTTGATGTCACCCGTCTGCTTGTAGAACCGAACGTCCGGCACCTGTTCGATTTCGCGCGTCGTGCGACGCGCCAGGGGCCGACAGCAACAACACAGCGGTAAGCAACATCAGCCCAACGGTAATTGAAACGGTTCTTGGTGGGGAATGAAAGCGAAGAACCAAACACACAAGGCCTTACACAGCAAACAGTAGACCGTCGTCGAACGTCACGCGGGGGGTTCGCGGTATGGAATAAGGGACAGAATCATGTACTGCCGAAGCAGGGCACCGTGGAGGTCGGCGCTTTCAGGTCCTTGCATCATTCACTTCCACACCTCGTTTCGGCTTAGTTGATCATCCCCTCTTTTGTTTTCTCTTCACCCCATCTGCAGCCGCCGCTCCAACCCTTTACCTACCAACAACCACCCGACCTCGCTTCCTCTGTTGAGGAGGAGCCCTCCAACGATTGGGGGGGTCAAGACATAGAAAAAAAAAATGTTCCGAGGTACACGTTAAACCACAAACGCCGTGAGGCTTTACCTCGGCACGATCGAGCAACCAACCCACAGCGGCCGCACGGACTCCATTCGGACATCCCAAAAAGCATCACAACGCAGTACGTACCAAAATTACAATCGGAAAATTCGAAAATTCTTGACTGAAAGTCCAGACAGGTGCCTACAGTAGATAGGAACCCTTTGAGACTACAAGCAGATATATACCCGTTGGGTAAACAAAAAAAAAAGGGTGGAAATCCGGACACGTTACTACTACTACAGAAGATACTCTACTCGCCAACTACAGACGATAGTCTACCCGTTGAGGCAACGAGCACCGCACGCCGTTCGCCTTCTCATCATACCATACCTTGCACGATATGCCGAAGTCGCAGAGCTTGGCCAGGCGGCCTGCCGGCGACGAGACCTGCTGCTTCCCTCGCTTCTCTGGGCCTGATTATTGGGGCCGTGGTCCCCACAGCAAAGTAACACGTTGTGCAGCGGGGGCACACCAGAGGGGACAGGGGGGGGGGGGCACTCGGTGTGTTTGTGGGCGCGCGCTCCAGTCGATAGGAAGATATGCCGGGCAAGGAACCAAAGCCATGTGTGTAGCCCTCTGTAAAAGGTCTGGATTGAGCAACAACAACAACAACAAACGAACCAACCCCTTCACTCACCCTCCCCCTGTTCCTACAAGCGCGTATCATGCGTCCCGCCACCAAAATGACACATCAAGCGTTCGCCACAAGAATGACACATCATGCGTTCACCAAAAAAAATGCCATGAGCAAAACACGTACTCCGAAACACACACCTGTACTCTTCTCCGACTCCGCCACCGAGGATTTTGATGATCCCGCCGCCTTTAGGGTCGGCGCGTCAGGGTTGTCAGGGTCTGGTGCGAACAGGAGGTTCTGCGGCTTACTGCAGGGCGAACAGGGGACACAGAGAGGCAGGAGGGGGGGGGGGGGGAGAGAGAGGGACAGAGAGAGGGAGCGAGAGAGAGAGGGACAGAGAGCGGGAGACGGAGAGGGAGACAGAGAGAGACAGAGAGGGAAAGAGATAGACAAAGAGAGGGAGAGACACAGAGCGAAGGATGGATGAACACGTGCAAAAGCGAAAGGGGTACGCCAAGGCCTCTCTCAACAGCAGGACCAAGAGTCGATGGCCCACTGCAGTACAACCAATAGGGGTCCTCTGCATTAAGGGAACCTCAACTTGGAAGTGGCATTGCAGCGGCCTACCATTCCTCCAGAAAAAAAAGAGACTGGGGGCGGGGGTGCTTGTTCCTGTTGGGAGAAGCATGGGAAAAGAGAGCAGCCGTGAAGGTGCTGCCCGACGGAAGAGTAGATAAAAAAAAAGCAAAGACGAAAGTACCAACAACAACGGCACCGCCCCCACGGTCACACCGCAACAACACGGACACTCAACATCTCCAAAATATCCTGACGACATTTCACTCGTCAGCCGGTGGGTACATGAAAAAAAAAAAAAAACATACACACACACACACACACACACACACGCCCCCTGCCGCGGTCCCAGGTCACGGCCTTCAGAGGCATTTTCTGCTTTCAGCCGCACTGAGACTGACGTATTTTCATTGGTCAACAGGTTAGCGCGGTCGATGCTCAGAGTAGAAAAAAACAAACATGCACGCACGCACGCACGCACGCACATGTCGCAGTGGACGATTCCCTTGGAGTGCAGGTAGCTGACCCCTTCCAGAAGCTGCATGACAACCCGCTTCGCCTCGATCTCCGTCAGCCGTCTGTATGCCATCGCCGGGTACACGTCCGTGGCAGCGCAGGGTTGGTGGGCGAAAAGACGCACGGCCAAGGTGGTGTTTATTTTTGTCTGTCTCTCGATCCTTCCGAGGGGGCGATGTCGTGAGGTTTGTGAATACAGTACATACCCCATAACACCAAAACACGTAAGCACACTGGAGTGTCTGCTTGCTGGCCTCTGGTCAAGTTACGTTGCGAAACCGCATGCCATCCATCCATCGCCTGCGTATTTTCTGAAATCTAGGCAGGAGGAGCCTTCAGGCTGCAGTAGTCTGCAGAGCACCTTCTCAAAAAAGCCATGCGCCTGTTTTTCATGCATTGCTATCCATACGGTGGGGAAACGCGTCATCAGCTGCGGGGTAACGTGCGCTGGCCTCCGTATCAAAAACCATATTACAAAGCGGTAGGGCAAATAAACCCCCAACAAGGTGAATGAATGAAGAGCGAGTACACGCAATTGCCAACGAGCAGAGAACACCTCTCACACACAGAGATTCAGCTTACGGCACGAGTACCTCGCACACCCCGAATTAATCTTGCGCGCAACTTTTTCGTCCACTATTGTTGATCGCGTGAGGCCAATGGAAGTGAGCAGGCTTTTTTATTCTTTCCCGCGCGGCCCATTTTTGCTTGAAAAGTGCGCCCCGGTCGCAAAGGGAACCAACCTATCGCGCGCAGCAGCCTACTACATATCGCATTTGTTTGTATTTTCCGGACCCTAAACTATTCTTATGTTTAGTTTTTTCGTGGTTGTGAATGCCACAGTCGTAGATTGTGACGTCAGATGACCTGTCGGAGATCTACCTTCGGGGTGTTGCCACAGATAGAGTCAGTGTATGATGGACGCTGAACCTTGCCGCAGCAAGGGTTGCTCCCCCCAGACTCAAAACACAACTATCCGTACTCTTCAGCCTCTCCACAAGAGGTTAAACCGGGAACTTGTCCACACGTGAAACTGACTTGAGACATCATAAGTCTCATATGGTAAGAGTGTTTGTACCCTCTTGGGGGATAGGTCACCTGTGTAGACTGCTTATAAATCAGACTCACCCGCGGAGGTAGAGCATCTTCTCCAGGTCGCCGCAGGGGCAGTTCTCAAGGACGATGAAGACCTTGTCCGGCGTCTCGTACACCTCGTACAAGCGCACGACGTGCCTGCCACCAAGGGTAACGAAAACGTAAAGCAATGACCGTAAAAGCAATGACCGTGACAACAACAGCAACAGCAGCAGCAGTCATCTAGCGATAACGACGGTTAGTCACCGCATCACGCCTCCTCACTCTTGCACAGGAGACGGCACACAGAGGCCTATTCAACAAGACGCCCGTGTCCCCCGTGGCGGTGGAGAAACAGCCAACGTGCTTAACAAAATCGACCCCACAGCAAGGAGGGGCCTTCACGACGTTGGCACCCCAGCCCTAGCCCAAACAGTAGCCCTTCGCAGTTTTTTTGTGTTCAGCAAACATGTTGGATAAATTATACAGTCGGGGAAGTTGGGTTAGGGTAAGGGTTGGGCTATAGGGTCTGTCTGCGTACCCCCTCCATGTTCTGTTTCCTTATATATTAGGGATAGGGTTAGGCAAAAGGGTCTGTCTGCGTGCCCCCTCCCTGTTCTATTTCCTTCTATATTAGGGTTAGGGTTAGGGAATAGGGTCTGCGTACCCCCTCCCTCTTCTATTTCCCTGTACTTGAATTACTTAATTCTCCCGCGAATGCGGTCCAACCCGAACCTTCTGGACCGGACGACGTTGAAAACAAAAAGGCTGCTGCAACAACAAAAAAAAGCGGCGTAGAATCGTTCGATCTTTTCGAGCCAAAAGGGCGCGTGAAGACACGTGTTGGCATCCCATCACCTCGATGCCACACACACACGGCTGCAACGCATGCTACGCTACATAAGAGGGCACCAGTCGTCCTCCACATACTTTGGGGATGAGGTTGTTCCCCTTCATGAAAGGGATCTCCACTCTACTCCCCCCCTCTCTTGGTTGATAGGCAAGACAAAGGCTTCTCCTGAGGGGTAACCGTATCCGCATCTCACTTGTGCACTATCCTGAGCTGGTTGTCGATCTCCGCCCCGACGCTCTTCTTCTCCGCGTCGCTGAACAGCAGCCTCTTCTGCACGGCCTTGACGGCTACGTCCTCCCCCCTCTTCCCTCGTGGGAATGCATGCCACAGCGAGAGACAGCAAAAAAGTCAAAACAACACACCCACAAGAACCGATGAGAGGATATTGTATTCATCACGTATCGAGGAAAGGGGCCAGAAAAGGGGTCCCCGTAGGGTAAACAGTTGGTACCATACACCCCCCCCCCCCCCAAGACAAAAACACCCCGAGCACTCTCGCTCCTTGACCATAGGATGATGTACATGACCTTCCTCGCAACAGCGCCAAAACGAAAAGGAACCGCTTCAGCAAGTGCAAAGGCGGGTTGGCACAACAACGATAGTATCTTGGTAGTAGACCTGCCCAACGATCTTGAGCTTGGTAAGTACGGGTACAACAAGCGGCTGGCAACCAGCAGTAGTCGCACAGAGAGCAAGGCGTGGTCTGGAACAAACACGCACAATTTCCAGCTGGCGTCCCCTCAACCCTCACTGCTGTGAAAACTGCAGCACAGCCCTTCGAACGGAACGGCGTCTTACTTCGAACGGGTGTTGTAGTCTCTTTTGGGATGCTACGTGTGCGCGCAAGGCCTCTCTCTCCCTCGCATCAGTGAAACCATGTGCATACTCGTTACATCGTTTGAACACAGACAGCCAGGCAAGAAGGTTGCACTGCCATCCACACCCCGGCCGGGGTTCCAAATTCACTCCTCCAAATAACCATCAGGCAAAAGTTGTAACAGCACGTCGTGAATGTATGACTGGCTGTCGTGCCTGTAGCATAGAATTAGGCGTCATGGTGGATAGTAGTAGCAGCGGTACTAGCAACAGTAGAGAAGCATTCTGAAAGATTGACCACGGAATGACGCGCGCACACCAAGGCGGCAACGTCCCAAGGGCGTGTCCGAGGCCATCAACAAACAGCTGTTGAGTGCTCCTCTTTTAACACCTACAGTAACAGCACACCTCCTTACTCACAACTCACTTTCAAGTGTTCCGCGAGGAAGACGCTCGCGTAGGCCCCCTCCCCAAGGCGGCAGTCGTCCAGCAGGCGGTAGGTGGCCGTGAAGTCGGTCTTCGCCTACGAGGACAAGAAGTTACCAGACCAAAGGAAAAAAAAAAAAAAATGAAAACGTGTCAGGCGAGCCAGAGACCGAACAGCATCGGTGTAGTATGTACATCATATTATCAGAAACTCCATGCCCACCAGATTAGCCGGAGGAATTTCCATACTTGCAAGCCCTACATAGGGTAGCAAACATCTTTTGCCGAACAAGAGCGGTCTGAGAGGAGTACAAGCGCATCGCGAAATCAAGAGTGAACACGTGGGACAGTTCAAAAAGAAAAGACAGGTGGCGGTGTAGGGGCACACAACAACGGGTGGTGATAACTAGGACAAGGGGCACCGCGCGGTGTGGTTTCGAGACAAGAAAAAAACTCTCGTCGTTCGGGCGTGGGTCAACTGCTCGGCGCCCCCCTTGCCGCCACAGACGCTGCTGCTGAAACGCTGCTGCTGAAATGGTCGTACTAATAGTTGTTTGCAGCGAACGGGGATGGTTCCCGGGAGCATGGACAGCAGCCCTTCCTTACTGCCGCACTGCATGTGCACTACAAGGGAAGAGATGCGGCGCAATTGCTGCGGGTAAACAGACTCTAAATAAGCCCAGCACCAGCCGGTTGCCTCTTCTCATATACTGCAAAGACTCCAACGCATCATGCCCTTCGACTGTGGCAATACCTTGAAAGGGTTGATTGTATACATATTTTCTAAAAACCTTCAGGGGGGAGGTGCGCATCGCCGTCTTCTAGGGAGTTGACGGCTACGGCGTGGCGAAAAGAAAAAAAAAGATGTACCTGCACGAAGAAGGGCTTGAACTCTCGACAGTCCCGCATCTCCTGCTTGCTACGCCAGCTCTCTTTCGTGCGCTGTGCTGAAACCGTCCCGGGCATCCACGCGTCTGCAGCGCGAATAGCGGAGGGGGTGGCATAAGGTGTTCGCACGCGGTGTATCCGGTCCAAGCGGACACTACAATCATCTTGAACGAGCACAAACTTAGACTTACATAATCCATTGCTTCAGGAAAAATAAAAAGAAGACAGCGCGTCTCTGAGAATTGCAACAACATCGGCAATGTGTGGGAAGAGCGATCAAGAACGACACGTCCCACGATGCACGCTCTGGGGGGTTTGTTCATCGCTGCAGAGGACGAAAGCGTGAATAGGCGGACGAGGTCACAAGCCAACGAGGGTGATGAAGTATCGTCCTCAGCCAGACTCGACAAAACACAGGCCACCTTCTCAAACAGACTCCCCAAAACTACCTAACCTCACTTCCGGCAAGGCACGCACATTACGTTTGTAGCAGGAGATGAAAGACGGTACCAAAACACGGAAGTACATCTCGAAGTACTACATAGTAAACAACAGCTTCACCTCCTGGCTGAGCTGGCTGGTTATCCTCGCCCGATCTCTCGCGGCTAACCCTAGCGAACTGGCCGGGGCCGACGAGGGTGTGGAAGGGAGGGGCCCCGTGGAATGGGAGGGCTCCGTCGTCGACACCCCCCCCCATGCGCTGAAGCCGCACACGTCGGGGACAAACGGCGGCGCGACAAAACGAGAGCAAGAAAGCGCGACCAGGGTACAAGCAGGTTCAGCGAATACAAGTATTCAGTGCGATGGCGTGTGGACGAGTGTTAGGAGTGCAGGGGTCATCAGGTTGATTTTATTTGATCGGTGACGGGTTCAATTGTTGAACACACAAGACCATTTTCAAGCAACCCTGCACAAGGTTTGTGGGGGTGATGGGATACGAGCAGAGGGCATCAGATCAGCACCGAGCACTCATAAAAATGCCACTTGAACTCCATGGACGAAGTCGGGCGATGTTTCACGGTCGCAGGCGAGAAGCGGGGGCACCACCACCAACCGACTGAATTGGTGGGAATGCGCAGGCGAGACACGCCAAAACGCGTCCAGTCAGTCACGTCCTTCACAGTGACTGCCCATACAATCCCAGCGACAAGGGTAGCTAGCTCCCACAAGAGGAACAGCCCTAAAAAAAGACACACGGAACAGGACGATGAAGACTGCTTCTACTTGTGCCACCGCTTTCGGCGAGGAATGATAAGACTGCTCCATCTTCTGACCCTGCGTTTTCCAGGATGAGAAGACTGCTTGTCCTTGTGATCCTGCTTTTGCGAGCGAACCAACAGCCGAACTTCTTCCCAACCTCGTGCGCATCCTCCCACGCAGCCAGCCTCCTTCGGTCAGTCAAAGCCAACGTCAATCACCAGCTACACCACAACGTCACCACATCGGCAAAAAATCAAGCACCCCTTAATCCCCCCCCGACAACGCTCCGTCCTTTCGAGGACCCGTGGTCAATGGCTGAACAGCTAAGAAACGCAGAACACGAGCACACACACCCTCCCTACTCGATCCAAAACTCACCCCCCCCGACCACGCTGGCTCCAGAAACACGCCTCCACCGCCGGCGTCGCCACCCATTCCCCCCCCGCCGCTGTGGCTGCTGATGTGCCCCCCTCCCCCCATCCCGTGTCCGTTCCCGTTCCCCGCAAGCACCCCTCCCCCGGGGGGCCCGAGCACGTGCTCCCCGGGCATGGAGCCGTAGCTGGTGCCGCCTATCCAGGGCTCGTACTCCGAAAAGGAGTCTTGCTTGCTCCACGCGATAGAGCTCGCATCGTCCGGGTATTGGTCTAGCTCCTGGTTCGCGCCTGGGTTACATACGAGTTTGCATAGGTTCGTTGTATTTACAGGGGGTGGGACCCAGGTTGCCGCCTGTACTTACATACCAGTGTGGAATTACTTGGAAGGAGCGACTCCCGCGTGCCTTTCTGGCGGTCCTGGTCGCAGATTCGTGGCCAGACTGTCAGGTCGATCTACTCGTTGTAGATTGAGGTTCTTAGGGAACAGGCGTTGGAAATTTTGTTGTCCCCATCCCCGCGGTTGTATGGTCTTCTTGGCACGGGAGGCTCCCCTGTTGGTTTTGTCAACTCAAGGCTGCAATTGCAAAAAAAATGAACAAAAATCACGTTGGTTGCCCGCTGTATCGACAACATTGGCAGAGCAAAATTTAGGTTCGAATCACGCACCCTGCCCCCCTTCGAAACTATCCCATGAGGGGGCGCGCACCCCAGAACACACCCTCCCACCCGTGAAGAAAGGGGGGTGGGGGGCACCGTAAACTCATGCCTCCCCCCCCCCCCCCGAAAACGGGGTCGGTAGCCGGTTCTTACTCTCCCTTACCGTAGGTGACATGACACAAGATACCACACACCCTGGACCTGTCTTCAAAGCTTGATTACTCCACGGCGAAGAGGATGCATAAACGAAACGATTACCGGTCGGAACGCTCTCGACGAGATGGCTTCAACGCCGCCGTTTCCGGCGACGCCACTCTTTTTGCTGCGAGGTGAAACCGAGTTTCGAAAACCGCGCTCCAGGGTGTGTGGTATCCTGTGTCATGTCACCTACGGTACTCTCCCACCACTGCCTCCCCCTCTCCCAGCAAGTTGCTTTGAGACAGCAGTTACAATTCAAGCCAGTGTAGCCGGTTCTTATCCTCCCACACATACTCTCCGACCACTACCCTCCCCCCTCCCAGAAAGGGCGGCGTTGCTTCTGATATCGCAGTCATAATTCAAGCTGATTATAGTCAACGCACCCCTGTTGGAATCGGCCTCCTGTTTTCGCCTGTGCTGGCGGTAGGCCTCCTTGGGGTGCATCTTCTGCCGCAGGAAGAAATGACGCCGGAAGCCGTTCACTTCCGCGATGAGGTCGTTGTACAGCCGGGATCGCTCCGCGACTGTTGCCCGTAGAGGCAAGGGGAGGAAAGGAAATGAAAGGAAAGGAAAGAATAATTCGTTGTGCCGTGAGCAAGAAAAAAATAAAAACAAAGGAAAGACCGTCGTTGCCATGGTCGTCGAAGTTGTAGAGGTCGATTCGACGGCAGGCATGGCATAGTATCGTCGACGCACGCACGCAGAGGATGCGTAATCAGCCACAAGCAGCAGCAACAACGACAGCAGAAGCAGCACCAGCAGCACCAGCAACAGCATTTTCACTTCTTGCAACGAAGCAGCATGCCTTTACACGAAATATCACAGGCGGACTACCAGATCCCGACGAGCCTCACGTGCTGGAATCCTCTACATTGCATAAAGAAGGTGCAGTTACGCCGTCCGAGACCAAAACACGCACGGAGGTACAGCTGTGTGAGCTCTTCTGGGCAAAACACACTTCTTCCAAAGGCGTGAACTTGTCTCTCAGCATCCATATCATAGCACCCGATCATCTCTGCCACCCGTTACAGCAGTGGGGGGGGGGGGCGCAGTAGTGCCGGCATCGACCAGACCAGTATACCGGAACTATTCAGAGTGACCGGCAGTATTCAAAGTACCCAATGACTTGGTTATTCAGTCTGTGCCCGCCCAAAACACCGGAACTACACCGGCCGTCGGGACTATTCAACCGGCACTACTGACGGCCCTTGTCCGAATTTCAGTCCTGCCCAGCATAAACTCTGCGTTTACTGCACTTTTCTCGTCATCGGTCACGTTGGTTGTCTTATCTCCGTTGTTTGCGGCCACCCCTACAGCGCTCGACATTACAGATACACAATAATAAAATAATAAGTGTACTTGATTGACCCGACTAAAAAAAAAAAAGAGTCTCCTCTAACGGAGGAGGGCTGGAACTAAAGCAGATGGCCAGATAGCTGGAACTTGTGGTAAAGGAAGCAGAGCAAAGACTATTTAAGACTTCGAAACATCCCATTCGACTCGTGCTACTATTATCTCTATGACAGCCTTTTGTTGTAAATAGTCACTTTTTCTGAACTTTTCTACAAATGTCACTCTGAATACCCACCAAGAAACTAGTTTTTTTTTTTTTTTTCAGTCCCGCAGGGGCAACGCAACGATTAAAACAAATCAAACGAAACAATATAATATTTATTATATGCAACAGGAGATACGTAAAACACATTATTGAGTCCAATATCATCCGCTTCTTTCGGATCAGAGGGTTTGTACTTGTGTAGTCTATCGTGAACTAAAAATTACGAAGTATTCGGTTGTCAAATGGTTTGTAAATATCTACATAGAAGGTGATCTTCGACACAAGGTATGACGTTGATCGTAGAATCTTGTTCAGTAGATTCCACACCAGACTGCTGTGGACACTAGCGAGAGGCTTCAAGACGAGGCTATTGACTCGCTGCCATATGGCATGTGGGTGGCGGTATCAGACTATGGATGGTGAACGACCAGCGACAAATGATGTTTGCATGCACACAAGCGGGAGCGCGCCAGTCGTCTTGCTTGATGTCTAAAGCTCTTGGGTTTTGTAATCTCATCATTGCGCAACAGCACCGCCGTTTGTCACACCTGGTATTGAACAGTCGCAAAAGGGGGAGACATGGTGGCACCGATGCCGACAAGCGAAATGGGATGGTGCAGTTGATGCAGGCTCCCCTTGATTTGATTCTCCACGACTGCTGCTAACTACACCGTATGCGCGTTCCTAGCTTGTTTCCCGTTCTCCGTAGGGGATTTCCGCGCGTGTCTGCCCCAATTTCGCCGCTTTCTGCCAGCTCTCGGCGCTTATTTCAGTAAATTCTGCGGGATTCCGCTAAGTATCGCCGCTTTTCCGCCAAGATTCGCCGCTTTCCGCCCGTTCTCCGCCTGAAATCACAATTTTCTGCGGAATCCCGCCAAGTTTCGCCGCTTCTCCGCCAAGTTTCTCCGCTTCCCCGCCACTTTTCTTAAATACCCGTGGTGGCCGCTGCTGCGCACCGAACACACATGCCATATACGACACAACATAACACACCCCCTGGACCGATTTTCAAAGCTCGATTACGCCACGACGAAGAGGATGCGTAAACGACACGATACATTTTCGGCGCTGTGACTCTTTCTGCTGTTGAGAAATCGAGCTTCCAAAGCCAAGAGGGTGATATCTTGTGTCGTATACGGTACGCGAAGCTCCTCTCCGTGACGAGATAGCCCACGTACATGCCCACCACAAATTCACCACTGTATGCGTTTTCGTCCCATTTGCCTACTACAATCACAGAGAGTATCGTACCCATTCGAGGCAAAATACCCCGTTGGAAGGGATGTGAAGACTTTGCAAACACGGGGTGTTGAGAAAAACCTGCTGAATAATGGACTCATTTAATAGAGTCTGTTTGGTGACAAAGAACATCTTCTTCATGACCCGCTTAATCCTCCGTCTGATCAGCAGGTGCGAAGCACGGGAGGGCATCACCGTACGTTGCACAAGATACCATACCCCCTGGATCGATTCTCAAAGCTCGATTACTCCACGACGAAGAGGATACCACAACCAAACGATGCACATTCCAAAACCTCCGGACGAGGTTTCGGCAACGTATAACTGCTTTTGCTGCAGAGCAATCGAGATTTGAAAATCGGTCCACGGGGTGTGTGGTACGGGAGGCACAATTACGTGCGCACAAAGAGTAGCGGAGGTCGCGGGTTCGATCCCCCGCCGGACAACTTTTTTTCTCAAAAACGCACATTTTTTAAAATCTTCCCGATCATTTTGGCAACCCTGAAGCGTTTGCTGCGGTGAACATGAAATAATTGAAACCGTGGGTCTACTATTGGTACCTTGCGTAGCCAAGGTCACAAACCAAAATATTGAAAAATGAAGATTTGAAGATTTGGTCAGTGTTTTGTGTGTGTTTTCGCCCTTTTCATTTTGCCGACAGTCCCCCCATTTTTCGTGGTGAGACGTGTACTACACTTTTCAGTGTATTTTTCGTCAGGAGCTCATACCAGAGAAAAAACGACACCCCTGCTTCCTTCCTTCCTTAGGGATTCATTATCGGAGTTAATTTTCTCACTGCAGGGGGGACGAAAGATAATCATCCCCCTAGATATTAAGATGTCTTAAAACGCTTTGTATCCTGCTGTATCCTGTCCGAACACGACGCCAAAAACAAAATGAAAGGGATAAATCTAACCAACCAACTACTCCTGTACTGGGCATTCACACACACCCTCTGGCCCTCATTTAGAAAGATATGTCATGTGTAGATACCCAAGGTGAAAACAACGATGACGTTCTCTCTGCCTTGATTTGCAAGTGTTTTGTTTTTCAACGATGCGCTGTTTCGACAGAAAAGCAACCACAACAGAAACGCTTCGTGTACCCGTTGTATGCACCCCAATGACGTTTCGACTACAGTACACTCGTCGCTCTTGTGTCGCTGCTACTTGTCGCAAACAAAAACATACGTTGTACACCTATATTGTTGGTGCGTTGTTGAATGTTTTCGTCCTTGGCGTTCACGCATACATAGCGTATCCTCACCAAAGGGTCTGAGCAGAGCACAGTCGTCCAGGGAACCGGACTTGGGGTAACACTTAGAGGCGTCGATAGCCCCTGCATACTTGAAGCGCTTGGAGGACATGCCGTTTCTTCTCTCCTTCTCGACCAGCTTCACCAGACTGTTTCCGGCGGGGGGGAAAGGGTTGCCACACCATCGTCGCCGTGTTTCGTCGGGTACTTTCAAAACATACATGTATACGTTCCATGAAAACATACTTCACACGTACATATAGTAGTACAGGCCTACATGCATGCCTACAACATACACACATACGTGCACGATAGATGCAAGCGGGACTGAGTCGTTTTGACAGGGTGGAGATGGGGTGAGCTGCTCTAGAAAAAGTCCAAACATCAGGACAACAAAGCTACACACTTGGACACAACTCTGAACCTGCAAGTGATGAGACGCTATATAAGCACAGTATTGGTTACTACAGGCGGCATCGCGCGTAGTTAAGACGCGAGACACTATCCAACCGACGCTGGCGGAAGCAGAGGTGGTGATGACGTGGTGAAGGACTCCTCATGGATGGGTGCCGTTAACGAGGAGGGAACGATGTACAACTCAATTTGCTTGGTGCGAGAGCAGGTGGGAACTCGTCGTGCAATTCGCACCACCACGAACACTCGGCAAGCGCGTATTTCTCGCTCTTGTTGAGGTCGACGACAGCTTGGACTTAACAAAGTGGCTGTGTTGTTCTGCCGAAAGCGCTGTAGGGCCTTTGATGTCTTAAGCTAGCTCCCGTGAAGCACGAACAATGGATTCGTTGATGTAGACAGGAGATCGTGTGTGCCGCAGCCGCTGTACATGTGGTTCAATGTTTTATTTTCGTTTCAACTGTTCCTGCCTCTAAACAGTCTGTTCCATCTCATTCTGTACACACTCTGCCTCTGCCTCTTTCTCTTTCCCTTTTTCTCTCGCCCTTGCTTTCGCTCTCTCTCTCTCTCTCTCTCTGTTTCTGTCTCGTGTCTCTCTGTCTCTTTCTCTCTCTCTCTCCCTCTACCCCTCCTCTCCCCTCCCACCATATTCCTTTCCCTCTCTCTCACCTGTCCCCACTCGCGTACACCACAATAGCGAAGGCCTTCTCTCTCAGCCTCCTCCTGTCCTCCTCCTCGAAGCTCCCGTCGCGCTCCTCCCCCCGCCGCTCCTCCTCCTCCTCCTCCTCCTCCTCCGCCGCCGCCGCCGCCGCCGCCGCACCCTGCCCGCCCACGTCGAACGACCGCTGCACCTCTTCCCGTATAGCGTCACTGAGCCCCCTACCCCTGTCCCCTTCCAGAGCCTCCATCGCAGCGTTGCTCGTCGTTCTGTGCCAGTTGATCCCCTCATCGTCGTCCTCGTCGCTACCGCCGACCTCCCACGCACCATCGTCCGACGCGGAAGGGGTCGTTGCCGCCGCTGCTGCCGACACCGCCGCCGCCGCCGCCGCCGCCGCCATCGCCGCTTCTTCCGCTGCGGCGACTCGCATGATGGCCGCCTTGCCCGCGCTGCTCGACCGCACGGCCCTCTTTCCGTTGTTCGCCACGTCCGACTCCGTGATGCTGCGGGAACGGCCGCGGCTTCGGCGGGACATGATGGCCGACGCATTCCCGGGGCTAAGGTCGCCTGTTCGTCGTAGCCGTCAGCAGCCAAACACCCACGCGCATATCAGATGTGCGAACAATCGACACACACAAATGACAATAATAGTTTGCTCTTGCCGTGCAAGCGAGCAAGCAGCGGGTGGGTGTGTCCCGGGCGGGAGAGGTGTCAGCAACTGCGAACCAGTAGGGGGGGGGGGGGGGGGGGGGGG